GAAGACCAAGAAAAAACCACTTTCACTTGTCCTTATGGTACTTTTGCTTATAGAAGAATGCCTTTTGGTTTATGTAATGCACCTGCTACTTTTCAAAGATGCGTGATGGCAATTTTTCATGACATGGTAGAGAAAATTATTGAGATATTCATGGATGATTTTTCTGTGTTTGGTGACTCTATTGATGCATGTCTGAAACATCTAGACTTGGTTTTACAAAGATGTGAAGAGACTAACCTTGTTTTAAATTGGGAAAAGTGTCACTTTATGGTACATGAGGGTATAGTGCTTGGACATAAAGTTTCTCAAAAAGGCATTGAAGTTGATAGAACAAAGGTAGAAGTGATTGAGAAATTACCCCCACCAACTTCCGTGAAGGCTGTGAGGAGTTTCCTTGGACATGCAGGATTTTATAGGAGATTTATTAAGGATTTTGCTAAAATAGCTAAACCTCTTTCTAATCTCTTAGCTAAGGATACTCCTTTTAATTTTTCTAATGAATGTTTGCATGCTTTTAATATTTTGAAGGAAAAACTTATATATGCACCCATCATGGTGGCACCAAATTGGAATCTACCTTTTGAGCTTATGTGTGATGCAAGTGATAGTGTTGTAGGAGCTGTCTTGGGACAAAGAAAGAACAGAGTTTTTCAAACCATATATTATGCTAGCCACACCCTTTCAGAAGCTCAATTGAATTATACAACCACAAAAAAGGAACTTTTGGCGGTAGTATTTGCTTTTGATAAATTTCGTTCTTATTTGATTGCTAACAAAGTTGTGGTTTATATTGATCATTCTGCTCTTAAGTATTTGCTTGCAAAGAAGGAGGCAAAACCAAGGTTAATTAGATGGATTTTACTGCTACAAGAATTTGACCTAGAGATTAAAGACAAGAAAGGGATTGAAAATTCAGTTGCTGATCATTTGTTAAGGCTTAAGAATCTTAGCCAAGAGGTAAGTGCATGCCCAATTAGGGAAGAATTTCCAGATGAGCAACTATACACTATTAAGGTGACATCTTCTCCCTGGTTTGCTGACTTTGCAAATTATTTGGCATGTAATATTCTTCCTCCTGATTTATCTTATCAACAAAAGAGGAAATTCTTTTCTGATGTGAAAAATTATTTTTGGGAAGAACCTTTTTTGTATAGATTGTGTGCAGATCAGATTATTAGGAGATGTGTCCCTGAAGAAGAGGTAGCTAGCATACTTCATCATTGCCATACTCGTGAAGCAGGTGGTCATTTTGGAGCCACGAAAACAGCAACTAAGGTTCTACAATCAGGTTTCTATTGGCCTTTTATTTTTAAAGATGCATACTCTTTTGTAGTTTCATTTGATCAATGTCAAAGAAGTGGAAATATTTCTAGAAAAAATGACATGCCTTTAAACAATATGCTTATATGTGAGTTATTTGATGTTTGGGGTATTGATTTTATGGGACCTTTTCCACGTTCTTTTTCCAATCAATATATTTTAGTGGCTTTGGATTATGTGTTTAAATGGGTAGAGGCTGTAGCATTACCCACTAATGATGCCAGGGTAGTTGTTAAGTTCTTGAAGAAAAA